AACAATAGATACTCTACTATGACATCAAGCATAATAGAATTTGTAAATGTAATCATGAAGGCGGTAAAGAATTACCCAATTCAATAACTTCTAGAATTATTGCGGCAAACAATCTAATCTTGATTTTGCAAGAATAGGGATAACGCACATGACACTTTCACAAAGCTTATAACTAAATATGAGAAGCTACTGAGGAAAACGAGCAATGATGTGAGAAATCTAAAGATAAAAACAACAAACTATGTTTATTATGTTGATCATAGTTATAACTTTAAGTATTTTATATTTTTAGGTTTCACCTGCAAGTCACACTTTGTTTGAAGGATTGACAATTCTTCATCGTACGTGATTGATGTAACTTAACATACATATAGTTGTAGAATGTTTCAAGTAGATCAATTTTCCTATCCACATGCACTGGCAGTGATAACAACATTGAAACTGGATGTGTACAACTTTTGCTCGGTGTATTACACAAGAGATGCATATCTAAATGCCTACAAAGGACAATCTTTTCTGTAGATAATAAATCAGAACAGAGTTTGCCAAAAGATGTGAATAGTAGAGTTGTACTTGCTCCAACCCAAAAGAGAAGTTCTGGCCAGCCTACTGAGAGAAGGAAGAAGCCAGCTTTTGAGAGATCACAAGTTGTGAAATGTGGAAGATGTGGTGAATTCGGTCATAACGTCGAACATGCAGGAACATGGTGCCACTCAACCAGAATAATGGCAAATTGAAAACAAAGAAAGATCCAAAAAAAAATTCAAATAACTTAGCGTAGTAATTTTTTTTACACGAGGATATTTTTTGTAATTACAAATTGTTTCATTTTATTGCCAAACTATGTATTGTTTGGATTATATGAGTTGACAAATTTATGCATAGAGATTAGATTACGTTTCAGGACGCCACACGTGTTTCTAGGAAAGATAGTGTAAACAGACATTGATTGTGACTCTATTCATGATGATTGTGATCATCTGTGACCATCTCTAGCACAAAAGGCAGTAACGAGCTTATAAGTTTTTTATTTGGTTGTGGTCATCTGTGACCGATTATGAATAAAATTCGAAGTTAATTGACTTGAGTGTTTTAACTGAGTCTGCATGTCATCTTCGACTAGATGTGACCAGTTCCGTGTATACTATTTATGGCAAATGTATAAATCATACATGTTAAGTATATGTGACCATTTGTGACCAACTGTTTCTATTTATGACTATTTGTGAATTGTAATTATGTAAGACATTAACCATGTGTGACCAATTATGACCATTTGGGATCATTTGTAACGTGTTTGGACCGTTCAAATATAAACTTTTTCCTCCATAAAATACTTAAATGATATAAACAAAACTATACACATAAAAACCAATACTTTTACCTCCTTTGTTCCAATTACTTGAGAAAAATAAATTAGCATTCAATTCAAAAACATATTACAAAGATAAAGATAACATCTATCGACTATATCGTAAAACACTTGTTTTGTTTAACTTTGAATAGCTATCAACTTAATCTATCATGAAAACAATTCCATCAACAATAGTTCAGTCATCTGACTTTGATTTTTCCCTTTTAACCTGTCTCAATTGTCTATTTTTAAACAACAATGCTGCAATTTTAAGCCTGGCATTCGCAACAACAAATGACATTGTCATTTTAGTAAGATCAATGTGCAACAAATACTATGCATACTTTATGACAAAAACACCACAATCTTGCTTGTAATATTTAACGTAGACGAACCTAAGTAACTACAAAATATTGATGAAAAATGACAAAACTTGTAATGCCCATAATGAAACTTACGCATTTTGTTGTTGAGGTAAACTACTGATAATGTTAATATACAGGTCCCTGGATATGTCACCCATATTATCAGTAATTTCCATCCACAGTCTGATCACTTTTAACAGATGTGTAAGAGTCTTCACAAGTGGTAAGACCCCTTCACGAACCTTATGATCCTTGTACGATTTTGTTGCTTGAATTGAATATGTACAGGATGCAGTTATTAATGTCAAGCTGCCCCAACATCGAATGAGCATGATTCGTAGGCATAATAGGCACTAACACAGATTCAACTTCTCTCCAAG